AAGCTTTCAACAATAATAACTTAATTTTTTTGCATTGGCTGTTCAAAAACTCTTGTGTGTAAAGTTTTCTATGTAAAGTTCTCTTTTTTACTATGAAACGTATGACATTTTTTAATTTAGTATTAGGAGTGGAGACAGTTTTGGAATTGGAAGATCTGCAAATATCTATGTGTAACATTGAGTTGTCCCCCCATATATTTACTTACCCCTAGATATTAATATATATATTATTTTTTATTTTTTATTTTTTTTGTCGATCTTTTAATATGAAATTTCCCCCGTATTTTTATAATAAATTGATCGGCATTTCTCTGATTCATAAATCATCAATTAAATTTTGGTTATAATTTGTGGAATTCATGAAGACTAAGTCACGTCACAAAACGTGTCAGCTATCAGTTTCGTCAAATCTATTTTCTGGTTGTCGATTCCTGGATCAAATTCTTGTCTACTGTTCGTACCACTACATCGAACCATTATGTATCATTTCCCGATATTCTGTGCCTTTATAATAAATCTATCTAGTCCACCAATTCTTATCCTACAGTAATAAAAATAATATCGAATGTGACACTTCCACTTGATGTTAATGGTTGTAGATTTTTAAACTTTTTATTTAAAAGAAACTCTTTTTTATAATTCATTGTATACATAGTGTAATGTTTGTCGAACGAGCATCCAAAAATAGGTATTGATTTAATGTTTAATTCGTTATTGTTATTCTACTATACAGTCTGTTAAGCCATTTATAGAATTTATTTTAAATTTTTTTCTAGCGAATAATAATTTGGATTAATATTTTTCAATATTATTTAAATAAAAATACGAGTGCTGGACAGGACAATAATAATATAGACAATATTAATATAAAAATGGAAGAACAAATAGCTACAACAAAAAATACAAAAAATACAGATAATATAATTATTAATGATGCTCAAACTTCTGCTCTTTCTCCATCCACTTCCATGATTGATAACATATTGAAACGAAGTTCTATATCAACAATAGCTGGCGAAGTTGAGGATGGAAACCATAAAAAATCAATAAAAAGTAATGACGACAAATGCAATCATGATAACAATAACAACAATAATGATCATTCATCATCAGATGTTGAACCTTCACAACAAACTTTTCCTTTCACCCCTCACCTACTTTATCATTTATTTGATCCAAAAAACTTGAGGTTACTAAAAATTTTTGGTGGAACTGATGGTATAATAAAAGGTTTACACACAAATATTGAAACTGGTCTAAGTAATGATGAAATAGCTCCTCTAGACCCTATACCACTAGATACAATATCAGAAATCACAAATAATGATGACGCTGAATACTTGGAGAGATTTAAATCTGAAAAGTCTACTGCCACTCCTATAATAATAACTGGTCAACAACCCACTCATTTTTATCAAAGAAAAATGGCTTTTGGTACTAATGTCTTGCACCAGATCTTAATGGATCCTCAATGCCCATTATGCCTATCAATGTTATATTTTCTGTCAAATTTTCAAATTTAACTTCACACCCATCATCAGCAGCCATGTTTTTTGGTGGCCATTCATCAAAATCACGATAAGCTAGAGCAATAGTTGTTAAACTTTGGGTGGCATAATGATCTATTATTTTATGAAGCATTTCATTATCCCCATATACTAAATCAACCACATAAGCATCACTATCAAATGCTAATTTATTGGTTAGTTTAATTGTTTTTGTTGCGTTTTTAAGCAAAACTTCACTGGCACCTTTTATTAAGAATCTAAATTTATTATCATTTAATTTTACTACTATACCCCCATTGCTTTACGCTCAGAACCAAATGGGTAAATCTGTTGAATTTTAGAAGACTCTCTTAATGATTTATAGTTTTCCAGATTTAAATCATAAAGAAAACTCAATAAAGCAGCATCAATTTTCGAACCAACAAAATTTATTTTACCATCCCCCAACGTTTCACCTTCAAATGCTGTCGAATTTATAGCTATTGATTCTTCTAATAATTTAAGTGATTCAGTGGGTAATTCTTTTACCAAACTTTTTAAAGGAATGGGATTTTGTAGTATCATTGGTAGATTGTTTTGAGAAGTGTCATTTCCAAG